GCAACAGTCTTTCCAAGTTGAACTCGTCCTCCTGCTCAGTTTTTCTTTCACCGAATAACCGAGGCGAATATACTGTGATATTACCCGGCTGGTTACTCAATATCGAGTATAGAGTGAAAAACAAGAAGCAAAGACCAAGATTGATCCCAACAAAAGTTAAAAGAGCGCTTCATGTTCAAAATTAGATTTGTTTTTTTAACTATAATATTTCCTGGAAAAAGAAAACCATTATTGAGAGGATGAACTTGATATGTCTGCGGCATATAAAACCATATTGCTTTACTGTTACATTTCATATGGATCTTTCTGCATGTCATCTTAAACTAATTTTGGGCTTTTATTTTAATGCAGTGTGAAAGTGTTTATCATTGCCTTTGTCATTGGAATCTTTATTCTTCTGCCAGTTAACTTTGGGGGGAGTCAGTTAGCATATGATTTTTCTAATTTGTCGAACAAGACTCTGGAGTCATTCAGTATTTCAAATGTGAATGATGGTTCAAACATGTAATTATTACGTAGTTGGTTAACGTATTTTCAGTGTCTGATGCTAAAACAGCTCAATTATTATTGTTGGATCAAAGTTAAAATGGTTGTTGTGGCCAAGACACGAATAAAATCTTTCTTTCCTTTCATGTGTGAAGATTTCTGTGTAAGTTCATGATTGAGCTTTTCCGATTGCTTCCCTAGTGGTTTCTCCTTTTCAGCTGTTTATTTCATTCTAAGTAGTAGTTCTTCCAAAGTCCATGATTGATAATTGTTAGATTTTGTGAATATATACAATTCATTATTTCATAACAGGCTTTTGGATTCATAAAGTCGAGGAAATGCTGACTATAAGTTTTTGCCATTCTTAAGGTTATGGGTTCACTTTTGCGCTGACTATGTTTTCACCTTAGTTGTCTGCTGTCTTCTGTATTACGTAAGCAATATTTTATTTATATTTTTCCTCTCTTGCCAACAAGGTTGTTGTTTCATATAAAAATCGAATGAAGCTTTAATTTTGGTGATACGGTACCTTGCAGGAGTATAGCTATATTTCATTGAAAAGAATTGCCTATTTCTATTCTTCCAAAGCTCAGTCACATCAGTTCACAATATTAGTTCGCGGTATTCCTGCCCATCTGGTAGCAGCTTCAGTGAAGTTGTTGACAACTTTTTCACAGAGTATCATCCTTCAACATATCTTCTAAAAACCCTAAATACTTAATCTGATTTTAAAAAAACTAATCGAGTTCATATATTCCTTCAAAACTATCATCTTTCATGCACACCAGGAAGCAGCTGCTCAACTACCACAACACAATCCAAAGAGAGCTAATCATGTACATAAAAGAATTGAATAAACAATGGCATTTGATTAGGGGAACTCAATTGTTTCCTTACACAACATTGAAAAGTGCGGGAGAAGCATGAGTGAACCATCTTTGGGACATCTGATAAGTTTTTACAGCAGAATCAATATCATCCTTATAGATTCCAACGGTAACTCTCATTAACATGTGCTGAGGCCTTTCTATAACCTTCCCTTGAACCTTCAAGAGATAAGATCTCTCAAGGGTTTTGAAGCCAAAGTAATCATAGTCAAAGTCCTAATCATATATGATCTCACTATCCAACCGATCAACATTCTGAAACCAAAACAATTATACACAAATTAATTATACATATAAAACACATTACAAGAAAAAGGGGAAAAAAAGCCCAATTAAATATTGAAAACATAATAACTATAAGATGGTGTCAAGTGGGGAAAAAAATTAAAGAACGAACCAACAATCAAAATAAATCCAAACACACTATGTCTTTCATAAAGTTGTTGCTGCAATGATGTACATAAAGATTAGGGATGGTGTGGATTTTGCAAAGCCATGATGTTTTTAGTTTGTATATGTGTAATATTGCATGTCTATCTTGATCTTCATTTCATGGATTTTGGAAGAGGTCACTCAAAACAAAACGAACAAATAAATTGAGTGTTTAATAAATTGTTCGTATAGTATTTGTTTATTCGATTAAATAAATAAGTATGAATAAAAATTTTATGTTTATTTAATAAATAAACGAATACGAGGTGTGTTTAGTCTATTTATGTTCATGAACAAATTCATTTGAAAGTTCGTTTATTGGCACATTCATAAGCTTAGTTTTTATCTCGTTTATATGCTCATTTTTCCGATTCTTCTTTCCCTTTTATTTTATTTTTATACGTTAAATATTGATTTTGGAACTAAATTGAACGCATGATGAGTTTCAGTGTTTAAACTATGAAGCATGAAGAGCATGAACACGTTCGCTAACACTAAACAAATGAATAAGAACATCTTTAAAAATAAATAATCGAGCATGTACACGATATTAGAAATTTAAATGAATACGAATACACTAAAAAAATAAACAATGTACACGCTAAAGCTTTTTAATTCATTTTTAGTCATCAAACCATTAATATTTTAACATAGTTATGATGTGTTTTTTTCTTTATAAAAAGATTTTAAATCCTTTCAATTATCATCTACCAACGTACATGAAATAGATGGTATAACAATGTTTACCTTTTATCCCCATTTTCTTATCAATAATTTTGTTTTTCTCAAAATTCATTCAAAATCAATGAAAATCATCAAGTCAAAATTTTATTTACCTAATGCTCAAATCTCTATCGATGATGTTATGATGAAGTTAGTTTCATAATATATTATTTTTCTTATTGAAAGAATGTTTCTTACTATTTATTTTTTGGTTGATCACGTGCAAAACCATTAAACCCGACAAAATATTTAGCCCTCTAAGAAAGAAAGAGATAAATGTTAAAGTTTGTGAATTTTATAATTATTTTGACAAAAATTAAATTGATAAAACGATAATAAAACAAATTTATAAGTGATTAGAGTGACCAAATATATAAGAGAATGTGATAAAATGATAAATGATAAATAATATAATCAAACTTACTTTATCATCTACATTAGTCGAATAAATCTTATAGTTGACAAACTCACATAATAGATTTAAAAGTATGACTAAATTGAGAGAATATGTAAATAATATGAACCAAATATATGATTATATCAAAATATTTAACTGCTGTTAACGGCAATTAACTCGGGGTTACCACATCTTAATTAAATAAAAACGAAAGTGACAATATCTTATGTTTTCTGAAATCAGTGACCAAAAGTAGATGAAGTACAAACATAAGTAATCATATGTGTAGTTAATCTATTATTTAAATATCTCTACTTTAAGTTGATCACACTGATTAATAAGATGTTATCGATTTAATTTTTTATTTCAAATAATAGTTAATAATATTAATAATATTTTACAGTTCAAACTTTATCTAATCATTATATAAAACAATTACCTTAAATCCAAACACAAATTGTTATAATAGTTGAGAAATTTTTAATATTTTATTTATAACTATTTTAAATAGTTTTAAGACAATATCTTTAATTTTTTCTCCAAATCAATCTTTTTTTTAAAAGGTGTTCCTGCTATTTCATCGTCTCCATTATCGATCGCATCTCAATATTAGTGGCTTCTCTCACAGAGTAGAATAAATTCATCCATCGAGGTTCTTCCTATCTTTCTTTTTTTTTTTATTTACTAATTTGAAGTATCATTTTCAATTTTGATTTCTTTAGGTTTTCAAATGCTTTGATTTAGTTTTCTTTTATTACTTTTTGTTTCCATAGTAATTAGCATTGCTTAGTAACTGTAATTTTATAACCCATGTGTTGTAACGGTAACAAATTACTAAATTATACTTTCTGATAATTCTCTATAAATTCACCCTCACAGAGATAGATCCCTAACCCTCTCAATTTCATAGCCCACAGTCTCATTCTATCTTTCTTTTTTCTTTTCAGTTGACCAATTTGATGCATTTGGAGTTTCTTTCCGTTATCTTTAATTTTGATTTCTTTATGTATTTCACTGCTTCTGATTTTCTTTATCACTTTACGTCAATGCAACCTCCCACGATATTATTCTTGTTTATTGTGGGAATCACTGGAAGGAGTTTTTGATTTTTCAATTTGATAACCCAGACCGTAAATACCTTTGTGCAGGATCCTCCTTCATCAAGATTCACTTGGAAGATTGATAACTTCTTAGGTACATTGCTCATCCCCTTGTGATAATACTTACCCTTTTCCTCTTGATTTTCTGTTTTGGAGATAGTAGTTGAGTATTCATATTCTTGGGTTTGAATTTCTTTGGAGTAGTTAGGCACGGTTCACTTTGGCAGTAAATAATCAATTCATAATGATTTTCAATCATTTTCAATTTTGATTTCTTTAGGTTTTCAAATGCTTCTGATTTAGTTTTCTTTTATTGCTTTTTGTTTCCATAGTAATCAGCATTGCTTAGTAACTGTAATTTTATAACCCATGTGTTGTAACGGTAACAAATTACAAAATTATACTTTCTGATAATTCTCTATAAATTCACCCACAGAGATAGATTCCCTAACCCTGTCAATTTCATAGCCCACATTCTCATTCTATCTTTTTTTTCTTTTCAGTTAACCAATTTGATGCATTTGGAGTTTCTTTCCGTTATCTTTAATTTTGATTTCTTTATGTATTTCACTTCTTTTGATTTTCTTTATCACTTTACGTCAATGCAACCTCCCACGATATTGTTCTTGTTTATTGTGGGAATCACTGGAAAGAGTTTTTGATTTTTCAATTTGATAACCCAGACCGTAAATACCTTTGTGCAGGATCCTCCTTCATCAAGATTCACTTGGAAGATTGATAACTTCTCTAGGTACATTCTCATCCCTTGTTGATAATACTTACCCTTTTCCTCTTGATTTTCTGTTTTGGAGATAGTAGTTGAGTATTCATATTCTTGGGTTTGAATTTCTTTGGAGTAGTTAGGCACGGTTCACTTTGGCAGTAAATAATCAATTCATAATGATTTTTCAATCATTTTCAATTTTGATTTCTTTAGGTTTTCAAATGCTTCTGATTTAGTTTTCTTTTATTGCTTTTGTTTCCATAGTAATCAGCATTGCTTAGTAACTGTAATTTTATAACCCATGTGTTGTAACGGTAACAAATTACAAAATTATACTTTCTGATAATTCTCTATAAATTCACCCCCACAGAGATAGATTCCCTAACCCTGTCAATTTCATAGCCCACATTCTCATTCTATCTTTCTTTTTTTCTTTTCAGTTAACCAATTTGATGCATTTGGAGTTTCTTTCCGTTATCTTTAATTTGATTTCTTTATGTATTTCACTTCTTTTGATTTTCTTTATCACTTTACGTCAATGCAACCTCCCACGATATTGTTCTTGTTTAATGTGGGAATCACTGGAAGGAGTTTTGATTTTTCAATTTGATAACACGGACCGTAAATACCTTTGTGCAGGATCCTCCTTCATCAAGATTCACTTGGAAGATTGATAACTTCTATAGGTACATTGCTCATTCCCTTGTTGATAATACTTACCCTTTTCCTCTTGATTTTCTGTTTTGGAGATAGTAGTTGAGTATTCATATTCTTGGTTTTGAATTTCTTTGGAGTAGTTTTGCACGGTTCACTTTGGCAGTAAATAATCAATTCATAATGATTTTTCAATCAGAAAAGGTATCTCCTTTTACCTTGCTGTCCATACACATATTAATATCTTATACAACATCCTGCACCTCTCAGATTATCGAGAGGAACAACTTTCTGTTCATGCTTCGGAAGGACATCACAATGTAACTTCAGTCGTCCCTTTTGTATTAATAATTGAGGAAAATTTTCTTTTGGTTTTTTAGATGGATGTGATTGAAAATTTTAACAACCCAGGCGTGAAAGATACGGTTAAAGTTAGTTTTTAGCTATTATGGTGTTCTGTATTATTTTGAATTTGCCTAGTTTTGACCCATTTCCTTTCTATGATTCCTTTCCCATATTGTTTACCATTGCAGTAGAATAATTATTTTAAGTTCTCTAGTTTCTACATTCGACTAATTCTTCATGCCAATATTACATTTCTTAATAGGACTTCATTTATTTATTTATTTATTAACATGAAGGAAACATAAAATGTTAAGTCCTCATTTCTCCTGATTTTATAACCAAGTTTGAGAAGGATATCTCAGACATATAAGATGGTGTGGTATCCGAATACTATCTGTAATCTTGAATATGAATGACAGAATCATCTCAAAGTTGGTGTTGGGGCTGAAGAAGCACATTCTTGTTTTTTGCGGTTTGTCTTTTTAACAATTTGTTTATGACAAACATATCTTAAATAGTTTCCATTTTATGATAGACAGTTCTTGAATAATTTTGTATTTTTTCTTTTCTTTTTTGACTCCTTTCAGAGGCTTGGCTGATTGAAATGTAACATTGGGCTAAAATCACTGGAGATTTTCGGTTAATAGAAAGTATCTATATATTTATTTTTTGGTTAATAGAAAGTATCTATAATTATATAATTATATGCTTATATCATATTTTTGAGTGTTTATTTTCTGCTCTGTAGTATTCTCCATGTTTTTTAGGCTTAATATATTTTTAGGTGTCTAAATTATACCTCAAATTGATTTGTGGTGCCTAAAGAATTTTTCGTTAAAAGTAGGTGCCTAACGTCTTCTCAGTTACACTTTTAGGTGCTTACCGTTAAAAAAAACCGTTGTGACATGTGTCATGTTTATATCTTTTTGATTTTTTTACGTGACATGTGTTACTTCACTGTTTTTTTAATGGTAGGTACTTAAAAGTATAACGGAGAAAACATTCGACACCTATTTTTAACAAAAAATTCTTTAGGCACTAAAAGTCAATTTGAAGTATAGTTTAGGCATAAAAGTATATTAAGCCTCTTTTATAACATTATGGGACATTGGACTAAAATCACCAGAGATTTTTGGTTAATAAAAAGTATTTATATATTTATTTTGGGAGCTGTATCGTTCTTTCGTTCTTGTCTGCTTCCTCACCAGTTTTTGTTTCTTGCTCATGATATGCTTCTTTTTGTAGTGTTTTCTATTCACATGGATGATCATATTGACAGAAAAACATTGGTTGGGAGTTACGTTCATACTGAGCAACCTCGTGAATTTAGGTTGCAGCCTGGATCACTTTCTCAGGTTTGTTTGGATCTGACTTATTTGTGGTATCTTCGGGCTGTTTTGAATGAATTTTGGGTTATTTTTGAGGATATTTACAAAGCACCACCGGATATGTTGTCTATTATATTACCGTTGTTGGAAGGTTCAAGATAATTCATAATTCGTTGACGGACGTATGTGTCTCTGTTCTAAAGTTTCATAATGAAACTAGTGTTCCTGTTTGACCTTGTAGCTCCAGGGATGAAAAGTTGTCTTTGAACTTCTATAATTTTAGGTAGTTTGTTTTCTTAGATTAACTTGGTCAATTATATAAATGTTAATGCTGTTTGCTAATTTTATTTTTCTTTTCCATATTGGCTTTTTTTTTGTAAACTAATTCAATGTTTTTTTTGTTCAATGAAATGCTTATGTTAATGCAAATGTGAAAGTGGCTTAATGTTAGGTAACGAGAGGACCAGTATATGTTATTTTAAGCTTGTTGATGCTTATCCCAAGTCAAAATGATATCCTGTTTATCTGCAGCTTCTTTTCTATTGAGAAAGTGTTGCCTTTTCTTTTATAAATCACTTTCTTCACTATGTTCTTGTTACCAATTTGTGTAATTTTTTCAGTTTTAAGTTTGAGGAACGGACTTCTTATAATTTATTTTATTTGGTTCTACATTTGACATAACAAGTAGAGAAAATGGATTAATTCCTTGATTTATCTTTTTAGAAACCAACAGTGCTACTGGTGCTTGTGCAGGAAATTTGGGTGGACAAACGCTTCCGTCTATTTTCAGTTGTTTCTACATCTAAAACTTACATGTTTTGGATTTATGTCCATAGACGGTAATTATTAGCAGTCGTTCCCATAGTGTTTTTATGCATTATTGAGAGCACATGGGAAAAAGACTTGTATATTTGTATTACTTGTTTGTAAAAATAGTTTCTATGTATTTCTATTTTCATTGCTTTCACATGTTGATGCCTTTGGTCTAGTGATTCAGATTGCTTTCTTCAGTTAACTGTCTTTTTTTATTTAAAATTTTTTTACTATGACAATCGATGTGCTATTTTTTTTACTGCAGGAATATGTTTATAATAGGCTTTCAATTCAGGATTATTCTTCATAATTTCTCCTATTTTGTTCCTTCTAATTTTGGTTTTTTCTTGACTTAAAATCTTTGAAACATTTCAAATATGGATGATATTTTACTTTTATACAAGGATTTGTTTACCTGATATTGATACGGCTTCAAGGGTTTATTATGAAACAAATGGTGTAACCATGGAAGACATGTGAAACTATTTGGTGTTCTCATGGACTAATCAACGGTTCATTGGTTTACCTTAACTGTCCTGTCCAATTTATCTTTAAATCTACAAAGGTAACTATCCATGAATCCAGGAACAACACAGGTTTAGCCTTAAAAATTCTCTTTTTTTTTGTTTGAAACTTGGAATAAATAAGAAAATGAAGTAGTGGCAATTTTTATGAATATGGATGATTTGTTTACAGAGGGAGATGCTATTTTGCTCAACGGTAGTTGGGATTCCTTTCTTACTTGAGCCAATGGTTCTAACTAGAGAGATCTTTAAGGCATGGAATTCTTGTTCTCAAGTAAGCAGCAATACCCTTTTTTTATTATATTGATTGACTTCTTTCTTGCACCCCCTGACCTCCTGCATTGCCAGGGGCGGGGCTGCATGAAATAATATATCTGACATTGAAGATTTAATGTGTTCAGATTCTCATTTTCTGTATCGTCAGGTTTATTTCTTTCACTTAAGTTTAATGTGTTCATATATCTGACATTGAAGATTTAATGCAGAAATCCAAAGGTGAGGAGACTGGCGAGCACACTCTAGCAATGCTTAAGGCAGAGAAAGGAGTAGAATCACCACTTCACAATGAGAAATGGTTGTCTGTCCAGCTAAAGCAAGAACTAGCATATGCAGAGGCTTAACGCAGACTGTACAAGGTATAATTTTATTAATTTATTCTTAAATTAAATTATTTATATAATTTATAAATATAATAATAATATTTAAACTATAAACTATAAAATATTATAAGAATATACTAAATTAAATTATATCTGGGGTTTGGTGATCAGTTTATTCACTCCTTTTGACCATCACTGTTGAAAGTAAAATCATTCATGGTTAAGTTTAGAACTCCTATTGTGAAGGTATTACTGGCTAGAATTCACATGTTCAATATTTTGCTGCAAGCTTTCTTGTTATTTATGCTCTTTTTTTTTGCACAGGCTTCTCACATGGTCAACAATACAAAGGAAGAGATACCATATTATTCCGTGCTGGAGTACCATTCTTGGAAGGAAAGTTTGGGTGGTAATACAAAGGGCTAGATCATTAAGTATCTTTTTTTATTTCTATCCCTTTATTTATTTATTTTGCATATATGAAATGAATATGCTTTTGCTTCATATATTAGACAAAAGAAATGAAAAACAAGATGCTTTGTTTTTATCCTATCATGATCCTTGATATGTGTAATATTTAGAGAAAATATAGAAAGACTATGAGGTTAGAAATGCATGTGTTTCCGCATATTTCATCTATCTTGATTATTTCTTTTCTCAATCTTGTACATGTGTGTGCCTATGAAAGCATGCAAGCTGGCCTGTACCGGCTTAAGCATTTAGGAATCACACAACTAACAACTCTAACCAGTAATGTGTCAACTCTTGCTACTGCATCAAACATTGAATTGGAGCTGCAGATAACTCCGTGGAATCTAAGTGGCAATTTTGTTGCATGTACAACCCAGGTAAAATGTTACTTCTACTAATGTTTTTGCGTTTCAAATAGGCTATAAATCAAGAAAATCACATATTTTGAAGCTAACATTTCCAATCACATTCTATACAATTATATTAATATATTCTTAAATTAAATTAATTTAGATTATTCTAATATTATTTAAAATATTTTTATAAAGCATTTTCCGTACATTGCTTATAGTGTTCTGATTTGTTTCCCTTATTGAATGGTTTTTAAACTTTGATTTATTAATTTGTTCTTAAATTAAATTAAATTAAATTATTTATATAATTTATCAAAATCATAATATTAATATTTAAACTATAAATTATTATAATTGTTTTTTGGGGATTAAAATTGTTTGTGCTTGAAATGCTGGCGTTGAGGGTTAATATATGGGCTTTGTTATCATCCTTAATGTTCTTTTAGATTGAAACCTTAATTAATGGCATGCAATTGCTTGTTCTTTTTGAGATTTTCATAGTTCCTATGCAGTTTCCGCCCAAATTCCTAAAAACTTGATTGTTTGTGTAAATTTCGTTAGAGGAGTAAAGTTTCTAGGTAGTTGAGGATTTGATCGACTAATGATATGTAATTTGAAAGCTGACTCTTATACTTTTTTCAGTATGGTCATAGTTCAGACAAGTCAAAGCAAAATACTGTTGATTTTACTGTTTTTGTGAGTTCCTAACCTTTTCTTTAAGATGAAAGAACTGCTTTTAAAGTATTATATTTATGCTAGTACCATGGTGGCATAATCGCTGTAGATGTTGATTCATTTTGAATTGTTAAGATTGGACCCTCTTTTGTTAGATTTTTATTTGTGTTGACGGAATTTGTTTGCAGCAATCTAAGTTTCAAACAATGCCTGGTTCTATTATCACCAGGAATATCCTTCAAATGTTCTTTCATAAGAGAGAAACTTTTGTCAACAATGTCTGATTAAGTAAATAGTTTATCATAAATGTTAGTATCATTTAACGATATTTCTAGAAACCTAGAAATGGAGAAGATCTATAACCGAAAAATGATGTCTTTTTCCTTCTATAGTCCTTTGGACGTAATGGACGTCAGGTATAACTAGAATGTACAAAACACCCCCTCACCACAAATAGGCGATGAGGGTCAAAGCTCAGCTTTGATCCACCACCGGGATACGCTACAGACTTACTTCTTACTATATAATTTCTTTTTCCTGTTAAGCTTCTAGTTCTATTGTTACATAAATAGATTGAATTGTGTAAATTAGTCTTTAGTTTAGTTATACATTTGAGGCACTCTTTTCCTCATTTCTATGTTTATTGAGATACATTCTTGTATTTCAATGGATATGAAGGGGGTTTTAATGAGACCTCCCTTTCTTATCGAAAAAAGTTTAGTTATGCATTTGCATGAAATCATAGACTATATTGACTAAGATTCTTTTTGAGATAGTGATGTGAACCTATATCTAATAGTTGCATTGATGGCCAAATTTGAAGTTCGAAACTTTCGTATGTTTCAATGGTTTAACATTATTTTTAAGTGAAAATAGTTATGCATTACTGTCAAGTACGAGACAGTAAATGTAGTTCATTGCCTAACCCTGGCAAGGAGAACACTCGAGACTCGAAATCTGTATTCAATATCAATTCCATTTAAGCTTAATTGAAAATCTATGGTTGAACTTGAAATCCTCTGATACAAAACACATACTCTGAGTATGTCTTGAATTCTTCTGTTTTATATATCTGACATTGAAGATTTAATGTGTTTAGATTCGCATTTTCTGTATCGTCTGGTTTATTTCTTTCACTTAAGTATTGAGTGCATGCAGAAATCCAAAGGTGAGGAGACTGGCGAGCACACTCTACCAATGCTCATGGTAGAGAAAGAAGAACTAGAATCACCCCTCCACAATGAGAAATTGTTGTCTGTCCAGTTAAAGAAAAAACTAGCATATGTAGCAGAGGCTTAAAACACAGACCTGCACAAGGTATAGTTTTTTCAGATGTATTATGATGGGCCACATAGTTCTTCGACTGTTTTAATTGTACAAGTTTGGAAAAATAACTTAGAAAATTTACTTACTAAATTCCTTTTGCATCTTAGGAGCTCCAATCCGTACGCCCTCAACTTGTCTTTGAGCAGTGAAGATGTTTGGTATACTTGAAACAAGAGAACAATGGTACGTTGCTTATAATGTTTTGATTTGTTTTCCTTACTGATTGGTTTTTAAACTCTGATTTATTAATTTATTCTTAAATTAAATTATTATATAATTTATAAATATAATAATAATATTTAAATTATAAAATATCATAAGAATATATTAATTTAAATTATGTTAATATATTCTTAAATGAAATTAATTTAAATTATCATTGTTTGATTTAGATAATGATTATCATTGTTTGATTTGGATGATTTATTCTTAAATTAAATTATATAATTCAAACTCGGATTAATGTTTGATTTGGATAATGATTATCATTGTTTGATTCGGATTATGATGTGAATTGTGACTTTATAGATTTTAAAGACACGATGTGTAGATTATGTGAATTATGATGTGAATTGTATAATGTTTGATTCAACGTCTCTCTGTAGGGTGCAATATTTTTTTTGTTAGTTATCTGATTGATCGACATTTTCTTTGTTTATTGTGAGCATAATTGTTTTGAGATTATTGATTGTATGGTATTTGTTTGGAAAATGTCTTGTCAAATGTTGATATATCGAACTTAAAAATTAGGCAATGCATTTGGATTATTTATATATGTAATATTCTTACATTCGGATAAAATTAAAATTCTGATGATATATGTTGTCAAGTTATACAAGGATGTCTCTTTGGATTCAGTGGCCTCTGCACTTCGGATGATTTGAAAGGTGAACGGGTGCATGATTATTTGCATAATATTCGAACAATGATTATTATTGCTTGTTTTATATTATTATTATTATTATTATTTTTTGTTTGAAAATGTTATGTGAAATATGTTGATATATCAGATTTAGAATTTATGCGATGCATTTAGATTATTTGTATATGTAATATTTTACATTCGAATTAGATCAAAATTCGAATGAAATATGTTATCATGTTATATTGGGTTTGGATTGATAGGGGAAGTTTAGTGTATTCGCTTGATGTTGAATGTCACTTCGAATTAAGAGGCCTTTGTCTTTGTGGCAGACCCTACTTCAGATGGTGTGTTGTAGTTAGTGGATCTATGGAACATACGTTTCGGACGGTGTGTAAGGCGTATCGGTGCATTATTATTTACATAATATTCAGACTGTGATTATCATTGTTTGATTCGATCTATGATGTGAATTGTGACTTTATGCACTTTAAAGATACCGTGTGAATCTTTTTGTCAAGGTGTGTCACTATAGGATGTTTACTTTGTTTGTAAGGTTTCTGATTGACTTACATATTCACTGTTTATTACGATCATGATTGTTTTGCGATTATTTGTTGTCTGGTATTTTGTTCGAAAAATGCTACGTGAAATATATTGATATATCAGACTTAGAATTTATGTGATGTATTCGGATTATTTGTATATGTAATATGCTTACACTTAGATGAAATTTGTTATAATGTTTTATTGGGTTGAGATTGATAGGGGAAGTTTCGTGTATTTATTCGATGGGGTGAAATTCACTTCGAATTCAAGGGTTTATGCTTTGCTAGCGAATCATACTTCGGATGGTCTATTGGAGTTAGAGTGGTTCTGGAAATTTACTCTTCGAACGATGTGTAAGTCGTATGGGTGCATGATCATTTGCATAATATTAGGACTGATTAATGTTTGATTTGGATTATGATTATTATTGGTTGATATGGACTATGATATGAATTGTGATTTTATGCTTTTTAAAGACATTGTGCAAATCGTTGGTCGTTGTTATAATATTTTCACACGGTGTATCTCTTTATGGTGTTGTATTTTTTTTCCGAGTTATCTAATTGACTGACATTTTTTTTTATTATGAGAATGTTTGTTTTTTTGTTCGGAAAATGTTATGTTAAATATTTTTATATTTCAAACATAGAATTTTTGCGGTGCATTTGTATTATTTGTATATGTAATATTCTTCCATTAGATGAAATATGTTATCAATTTATATTGGGTTGGGATTGATATAGAAGTTTTAGTGTATTCACTCCATAGGGTGAATGTAACTTCAGATTTAGGGGCATATGGCTTTTTGGTGGACCACACTTTGGATGGTGTGTTGTAATTAGAGTGGTTCTCGGACTTTACTCTTCGAACAGTAAGGTGTATATGTGCTTGATCGTTTGTATAGTATTCAGACTCTGATTATTAATGTTTAATTTGGAATATGATTTTTATTGTTGTTTCGGGCTATGATGTGAATTGTGATTTTACACTTTAAAGACTGGGAATTTTTGGTCGCTGTTAGAATATTTTGTCAAGGTGTGTATTTATAGGGTGTTATATTTTGTTTGTGAGTTATCTGATTAATTAAAATTTCTTTATTTATTGCGCGCATGATTATTTTGCAATTAATGATTATCTGATATTTTGTTCGGAAAATACTGTGTGAAATATGTTGATATATCGGACTTGGAATTTATGCGATGCATTTGAATTATTTTATATTTAATATTTTTACATTTGGATCAGATTAGCGTTCGAGTGAAATATGTTATCATGTTATATTGAGTCTTGATGATAGTTCAATGTATTCACTCGACATAGTGAATGTCACTTCAAAATCAATGGCCTTTGCCTTTGTGTCGAGCCCCACTTTGAATGGTCTGTAAGGTGTATGGGTCTATGATTATTTGTATAATATTTGGAATATGATTATCGTTGTTTGATTTTGTCAAGGCATGTCCCTATAGGGTGTTATATTTGGTTTGTGAGTTTTTTGATTGGGTGTTATTTCTTTGTTTATTGCGAGATTGATTGTTTGCGATTATTAGTTGTCTGGTATTTTGCTCGAAAAACGTTATGTAAATTTGTTAATATATTGTACTAAGAATTATGTGATGTATTTGAATTATTTGTATATATAATATTCTTACATTCGGATCTGATAAAAATTCGAATGAAATATATTATCATGTTATATAAGGTTTAGATTGATAAGAGAAATTCAGTGAATTCATAGGACGGGGTGAATGTCACTTTGAATTTCGAATTTAATGGTATATGTTTTTGTGACGGACCCCATTTCTGCGATGCATGATCATTTGAATAAATTTCGATTATGCCTATTATTGTTTGGTTCGCCCTTAGAATATTTTATCAATGTGTCTTTATAGGGTGTTATATTTGTTTGACTAATTTGATTGACTGATATTTCTCTATTTATTGCGAGCATGAATGTTTTACGATTATTGATTTTCTGGTATTTTGTTCAGAAAATGCTAAGTAAAATGTGTTAATATCAAACTTAGAATTTATGTGATGTATTCAGGTTATTTTATATTGGGTTGGAATTGATAGGGAAGTCCAGTGTATTTAATCGATGGAGTGAATGTTGCTTCGGATTTAAGGGCATCTGCCATTTTGGTGGATTTCACTTTCGATGGTGTGCTATAATTTCAGTGCTTTTGGGAAACTTAGTTTTTGAATGATGTGCAAGGGTATAGGGGCATTATCATTTGTATATTTTGTTAAGGTGTGTGGGTGCATGATTTTTGGTTGATTTGAATAATGATGTATAGGGACAAAGTGTGTTGGTACACCTCTACAAGATGACAACGACGATGACGTTGATCAATGCCTACGACCTCGTCGTACTTGACGAGCCCCACAATATTATCATTCGACCACTCTTGGATATCGTCAAGAACTTAAAAGAGTAGGATCTATTTACATTATGTAAAACTCTTTTAGTTTTACACCTTTTATTGCCATTTGATTGAGAGAAATCAAAGGTTGAGATCAACTCGTTTTTTAGTGAATATCTGTTCATTTCCACGATTAATCTCAGTCTTTAAATTTATCTCATCCAATGGTCCTAAAATGATGTAAAACTAAAAGAATTTTACATAGTGTAATTGGTCATGCCCTATGTAATAATATTAATAATTAAATTATATTAACATATTCTTAAGAAATGTACCCCTTGACTCTATTAATCAATTCTTTGGATTCTCAGGTTAGTTTCTTTACCCAATTCTTAGATCTGTTACGTTTTTCTTTTAATTTACACTTTTTTTTAGATTATACATTGTGATGAATAATAGTTGTAGCAAATACAATTTTAGATTAAAGTTGTTCATCAAAACTAGCTGTAAGGGCTGAATTAGTAAAGAGAGGTGTACGGGGATATTGGATCTTTTGTGTCCTTTATGCAAGTTGGATTTGGAGTCTTCCTCGCATTTGTTCTCTTGCACTGCTGTGTGGGGATTGTGGAATAGGTTTATGAATTTGTGGAAAATATAAATTGTCATACATGAAAATGCACACTACTTTTTTTCTACTTGGGAGGAATTGGTGCCTCATTCAACTATTTGGACCTTTATTCCTGGTGTAGTTTTGTGGACAATTTGGAAATGTAGGAATGCCATTGTTTTTTAGAGGGGAGTGTTCGATCTGATTCAAATGTTTTTCACAGCAAGGTTCAGTTTTGCATATTGTTTCTTAGCTAAATTCACTAACATTTCCATTTCGATGGATTCCCTCATTAATGATCCATCTCTTGGAGATTTATGTTTTATTCCAAAAAGTCCGATAGTAAATCATATTTCCTAGTCCCATCCCCCTATGGGATTTCTAAAGCTGAACGTGGATGCTGTTATTAATGGTGATTGAAAGGCTAGCGGTTTAGGCGGGATTCTAAGAGACGAGTCTGGCACATTGTTAGGATCTTTTCAAGAAGCTGCTGGTCCGGGTCCTTCTTTAATGGAATTAAAGGCCATTAAACATGGTTTAATTTTCTTTGAATCTTATAGGTGGTGCTCTAAGAGACTGTTGATTATTGAGAGTGATAGTAAGTTGTCTGTGGAGTGGATTAAGAAATTGCGGATAAGATAAGGAACTTGGAGGGCGTTATTCGTTGGATAGCTAGGCTAGCAAACTTAGAGGCAGACATTTTAGCAAAGTCTGGAATTGGCTAAGATAGGGAGTTTTGGTTTGGTTTTGCTTTTTTTCTCGTTTTTTGGTTTTATCTATTGTATGGGGGGTAAGTTCGGTTGTAATCATATGCATTGTACTACTCTTTTATTAATAAAATTTGGAGGCACTCTTTTCTTCCTTCCGCTGATTTCTGGAACACCTTATGGTGTTCTAGTTTCTAACGAGACCTCCACTTCTTATCAAAAATACATTGTGATGAATGTAGATGCGGTTGTGCTTCTTGATTTTTTTGGGTTTTTTAAAAATTTGATTTATTTTCTGATTATATATTTGGGATTTTGTTTTTTTTACCTAAATCTAATAAACTGTTGACATTTTGGGTTTTCTTTTCTGATTACATGTTTGTGTTGTTTTAAACCGTTATTTCATTTGCAAAGGTTTGTCGGTTCTGCATGTGACCAATTCCCTTTCATGTATGCCTGGTTTGGTTTCTCTTTTTATGTTTTTCTCTGTCTTTGCTTTCTAAAAAATTATGAAAAATAAAATTTAGGACATTGTATTTTTATATTATTTGTTTGTAAAAGTAGTTCTATATATATGTCTACTTTTACAAACAAATATGTCTTCTTGCTCTATACTTTACCTATAAATATGTCTTCTTTTCTCTATTTCCTCTGGGAATTAATTTTTATGAAAATTGTAATGTAGGTTTGGGACTCAGAAAATAGGCTCTTGTCTCATGTATATGTCTTTAAAGAAGAATTACTTCTTTTGCAGTTATGCAAACTGGTCCCTACATGCAAGTCTAGCTTCGGTTTTTTGCTCTACTGTAGGTTATTTCAACTTTCAAGAGAGCACATGCGACAATTGAATTTTTCATATCGATTTAATTTCTGAATTTGTAGGTATGTTGGAGATTCTGATGGCAACATCAAGGGTTTTAAGATTGAACAAGAAGTACGTCATGTTATACCAATGAAATACACTATACCTTTCTCAGTTTCCCATGGTAAGTAGACGTACATATCAGCTTAAGATTTGAAGTGTGTTAAGCACTATCGTGCATCATATTCTTTTAACAAATAAACTTGACAAGGCTCAAGCCTTAGGACGTTCTTGTTTACTCTCTAGTCTAGGCTTGATGACAGTGACATCATTATGCTTTCCTTGACTACAAAATCCTCTTAAATGAATAAAGGATGCTACATGATTCATTTGGAGTTTCCTAATGGCTCCTTAGAAACCTACTAAGCCAAACTTCAGAGTTGACCGTTATTTGAAAAACAGAAAGCTCTGTGACCTCAATACTATCCCTGATTATAGGACGTACTGTTCATGTGTTAGTTCTGTTGCTGCCATTCTGAGAATTCTTGAAGTTTACTTTGTGGTACCAGGTCTTACATTACTGATATATCAAACTTGATTGACCATCTTGTTTAGGATATCCAACTGAAGTTTTAGCTGAAGGGTTTTTATTCATAAGTTCGTTTTTCAAGTACCCTTGACTCTTATAGTGAGGATTTCTGACCTCTAAGAACATTTGTGTTTCTATACTTCATTTCTTTACCTTATATTCAAACTTTAATGTGTTATCTCAGCAGTGATTATGTTCTCATGTGTTGCTCAAGTAACTACAGAATTCTTGTAATATTTAGAGATGGCTTTATGATTTGTGGGAAATTTGAGAAAGCAATGTACCCCGACGGTTTAAACACTGAAAAATGCCTTGTAACACATAATGGAAGAAAATAGCTGCTCAAAGTTTGAAAAGACCGTTCCGTATGCTTTAGTAATCCCAAGTGGCAGGTTTGAGTTATCTAATTAAGTCTTCATCATTTGTCTTTTGATCTGATGTTAATAGTTGATGAGCCTTTTTTATCTATCTTTGCACTGGCAGTAATAGGTTCTTTTATCTAATGAAGTCCGACAAATGAAAATATGATTCAACAGAAGCCCTCATTTCCACTCCACTCCACTCCACCCTTGGCTCATGAAAGTGGTGCCAAACATGTTAGAAAAGGATCAATTAAACGTGCTTGGGAAGTAAAGTTGACTACAAGATTAAAAAGTGAAAAAAACCTCATGTTGTAAGAAAAAGATGAAAGTTTCTTTTAGCGGTTACACAAAAAGTGGGTTGGTTGAAGATCAACAGCAGCAAGGAAATAGTAATATGGCTTTAGGAAACTAACTGAAAAGGTTAATGGAGTCCCATTGTTAAAATTTCAGATGGTCATGGTTCAACAGTAAATAAGTTGCCTTTAGCAAATGAAGCGACCTTGTGTAAATGTGAGACCATTACAAATAAAACACAATGTTTTTTGTCTTTCAATAGAAGACTTTGAGGTTTAGTATTCCTGTCAAGTTTATGATATGACTAAAACTGCCCATCTTTCAATCAAATTGATGAAGTTATTTGCTATACAAAATTGCAGGCTACAGGAGAGATGGTTAAGTACTATGAAGGCAGACCTGTTCCTCAAGATTACAATGGTGGCTCTAAGGTCATACATTCGCACAAGAACTGCACTGAATGGTAAAAGTGTTCATAACCGAATAGGCTCTTTCGGTAGAGTTTCGATAATTTTAATATATAATAATGTTATTTTTTCAGGGCTCCTAATGTTTATTTTGAAAATGAACTCCAGAAGTAAAATAAATGCTCCTGTTACAGACTCAAAGCTGCAGCGTTCGGCTGTTTCGAAAAGAGTTGTCGTAAGAGTTTCCCTGTTCCCTGTGCAAAATTAGTCTCACAATGCCAGTGGGATACTGTAAGTGATATACAGATTGGGCAGTTTTCTGGACTTCATATGATTTTTGCGAAGTTAAAGACTATGTTCCTTGTTAACGAGTGTATATTTTTTTGGATCACAATAGGATAACTTTGTAATGTTGTGCCCTCTCCATGCTTCTTCTAAGTTGCCTAATGAAAAGTCAGAATCTCAAGGAAGCAAAAAACAAGTGTTTTAAGAGGGTATGCTGAAGTTTCATCCAGTTTATTCTAGTTTCTTTACAAACTTCACCTTTTCATGCTCATGGAAATTTCATTAAGTTATTGCTTCATTTGTAGACATTTGCCAGTTCACAACAAGGAATATCCTACAACGAAGAAGTCAATATGCAGAAGAAAAGGAATCTTTGTGAATCACGCGACAAATTGGTTCTCTGTTTCTCGGCTCTCATAGTTGAAGAAAATGTAAGTGTCACAATCTATTGTCCTTGTGTTTTTCTTTTTCATTCACATTAGGAAAATCCTCGACATTTACTATGATATTATTTATAAATATAATGATAATATATTATAAATTATAAATATCATAAGAATATATTAATTTAAATTATATTAATATATTCTTAAAATAAATTATTCTAATATTATTTAAATATTTTATATAATTATTCTTAAATTAAATTAATTATATAATTTATAAATATATAAGGATTAAGATACACTTATATTGTGTAAAACTCTTTTATGTTTGCATCTTTTTAGTCTCATTGGATTGAGAGAAATCAAAGGTTGAGATTAATTCGTTTTTTAGTGAATATCTGTTCATTTTCCATGGTTAATCTTAGTCTTTAATTTCTTTCATTCAATGGTCCTAAAATGGTGTAAAACTAAAGAGCTTTTACACTATAATTGGATCTTGCCCATATATTAATATTTAAATTATAATTTTAAATTATAATATATTCTTAAATTAAATTGATTTAAATTATTATAATATTTTTATATAATTTATTCTTAAATTAATTAATTAATATAATTTTTAAATAATAAGGATTAAGATCCATTTACACTATGTAAAACTCTTTTAGTTTTACACATTTTTAGAGCCATTGGATTGAGAGAAATCAAAGATTGAGATTAATTCGTTTTTTTAGTGAATATCTTTTCATTTTCCACGATAATGTCAGTCTTTAATTTCTCTCATCAAATGGTCTTAAAATGGTATAAATTAAAAGAGTTTTACACATTATAATTGGATCCTGCCCTATATAATAATATTAATATTTAAATTATATTAATATGTTCTTAACATAAATAATTTAAATTATTATAATATTATTTAAATATTTTTATATAATTTATTTTAAAATTAAATTAATTTATTCTTAAATTAAATTGTTTATATAGTTTATAATATAATATTATTATAAATATCATAAGAATTTAGTATAATTACCCTTTTATCCTAAGCCAACGGTTGAAATCCATCTATAAAAATAAAAACTGAGCACTACCCATCACCCATTTAAGAAACTTGCCCATTGATTATATCAATCAATTCTTTAGATTCTCAGGTTAGTTTCTTTTACCCAATTCTTGTATTGTTACGTTTTTCTTTTAATTTATACTTTTGTTAGATTATATTTGTGATGAATTTTTTCTGGGTTTTTTAAAAATTTGATTATATTCTGATGACAGATTAGGGATTTTGTTTTTTTACCTAAATCTAATAAATTGTTGACATTTGGGTTTTCTTTTCTGATTACATGTTAGTGTTGTTTTGAACCCGTTATTTCATTTGCAAAGGTTTCTCGGTTCTGCATGTGACCAATTCCCTTTCATGTATGTCTGGTTTGGTTTCTCTTTTGCTACGTTTCTCTGTGTTTGCTTACTAAGAAAAAATACGAAAATAAAATTTAGGACATTGTATTTTTGTATTACTGTTTGTAAAAATAGTTTCTATTTATTTCTATTTTCATTGCTTTCACATGTTGACGCCTTTGGTCTAGTGATTCAGATTGCTTTCTTCAGTTAACTGTCGTTTTATTTAAATTCTTTTTTTACTATGACAATCGTTGTGTTATTTTTTTATTGCAGGAATGTTTATAATAGGCTTTCAATTCAGGATTATTCTTCATAATTTCTCCTATTTTGTTCCTCCTATTTTACTTTTATACAAGGATTTGTTTACCTGATATTGATACGGCTTCAAGGGTTTATTATGAACAAATGGTGTATCCATGGAAGACATGTAAAACTATCTGGTGTTCTCATGGACTAATCAAGGGTTCATTGGTTTACCTTAACTGTCCTGTCCAATTTATGTTTAAATCTACAAAGGTAACTATCCATGATTCCAGGAACAACACAGGTTTAGCCTTAAAAATTCTCTTTCTTTTTTGTTTGAAACTTGGAATAAATAAGCAAATGAAGTAGTGGCAATTTTTATGAATATGGATGATTTGTTTACAGATGGAGATGCTATTTTGCTCAACGGTAGTTGGGATTCCTTTCTTACTTGAGCCAATGGTTCTAACTAGAGAGATCTTTAAGGCATGGAATTCTTGTTCTCAAGTAAGCATCAATACCCTTTTTTTATTATATTGATTGACTTCTTGCACCCCCTGACCTCCTGCATTGCCAGGGGCGGGGCTGCATGAAATAATATATCTGACATTGAAGATTTAATGTGTTCAGATTCTCATTTTCTGTATCGTCAGGTTTATTTCTTTCACTTAATTAATGTGTTCATATATCTGACATTGAAGATTTAATGCAGAAATCCAAAGGTGAGGAGACTGGCGAGCACACTCTAGCAATGCTTAAGGCAGAGAAAGGAGTAGAATCACCACTTCACAATGAGAAATGATTGTCTGTCCAGCTAAAGCAAGAACTAGCATATGTAGAGGCTTAACGCAGACCTGTACAAGGTATAATTTTATTAATTTATTCTTAAATTAAATTATTTATATAATTTATAAATATAATAATAATATTTAAACTATAAACTATAAATATTATAAGAATATACTAATTTAAATTATATCAGGGGTTTGGTGATCAGTTTTTTTCACTCCTTTTGACCATCAGTTGAAAGTAAAATCATTCATGGTTAAGTTATAACTCCTATTGTGAAGGTATTACTAGCTAGAATTTCCATGTTCATATTTTGCAGCAAGCTTCTTGTTATTTATTATCTCTCTTTTTTTCGCACAGGCTTCTCACATGGTCAACAATACGATGGAAGAGATACCATATTATTCCATGCCGGAGTACCATTCTGGAAGGAAAGTTTGGGTGGTAATACAAAGGGCTAGATTATTAAGTACCATTTTTTATTTCTATCCCTTTTTTATGTATTTATTTATTCTGCATATATGAAATGAATATGCTTTTGCTTCATATATTAGACAAAAGAAATGAAAACAAGATGCTTTGTTTTTATCCTATCATGATCCTTGATATGTGTAATATTTAGAGAAAATATAGAAAGACTATGAGGTTAGAAATGCATGTGTTTCCGCATGCAAGCTGGCCTGTACCGGCTTAAGCATTTAGGAATCACACAACTAACAACTCTAACCAGTGCAATGTGTCAAACTCTTGCTACTGCATCAAACATTGAATTGGAGCTGCAGATAACTCCATGTAATCTAAGTGGCAATTTGTTGCATGTACAAGCCAGGTAAAATGTTACTTTACTAGTAAGAAAAGTACTAATGTTTTTGCATTTCAAATAGGCTATAAATCAAGAAAATCACATATTTTGAAGCTGACATTTCCAATCATATTCTATAAAATTATATTAATATATTCTTAAATTAAATTAATTAGATTATTCTATATTATTTAAAATATTTTATAAAGCATTTTCGTACATGCTTATAGTGTTTTGATTTGTTTCCCTTATTGAATGGTTTCAAACTTTGATTTATTAATTTATTCTTAAATTAAATTATTTATATAATTTATCAAAATCATAATATTAATATTTAAACTATAAATTATTATATTTGTTTTTTGGGGATTAAAATTGTTTGTGCTTGAAATGCTGGCGTTGGGGGCTTAATATGGGCTTTGTTATCATCCTTAATGTACTTTAGATTGAAACCTTAATTAATGGCATGCAATTGCTTGTTCTTTTTGAGATTTTTCATAGTTCCTATGCAGTTTCGACCAAATTCCTAAAAATTTGATTGTTTGTGTAAATTTCGTTGAGGAGTAAAGTTTCTAGGTAGTTGAGGATTTGATCGACTAATGATGTAATTTGAAAGCTGACTCTTAATACTTTTTTTTTCAGGATGGTCATAGTTCGGACAAGTCAAAGCAAAATACTGTTGATTTTACTGTTTTTGTGAGTTCCTAATTTTCTTTGTAAGATGAAAGAACTGCTTTTAAAGTATTATGTTTATGCTAGTACCATGGTGGCATAATCATTTTAGATGTTGATCATTTGAACTGTTAAGATTGGACCCTCTTTTGTTAGATTTTTTATTTATGTTGACGGAATTTTGTTTGCAGCAATCTAAGTTTCAAACAATGCTGGTTCTATTATCACCAGGAATATCCTTCAAATGTTCTTTCATAAGAGAGAAACTTTTGTCAACAATGTCTGATTAAGTAATAGTTTATCATAAATGTTAGTATCATTTAACGATATTTCTAGAAACCTAGAAATGGAGAAGATCTATAACGAAAAATGATGTCTTTTTCCTTCTATAGTCCTTTGGACGTAATGGACGTCAGGTATAACTAGAATGTACAAAAACACCCCCTCACCACAAATAGGCGACGAGGATCAAAGCTCAGCTTTGATCACCACCATGATACGTTACAGACTTACTTCTTACTAAATAATTTCTCTTTCCTGTTGAGCTTCTAGTTCTTTTGTTACATAAATAGATTGAATTGTGTAAATTAGTCTTTAGTTTAGTTATACATTTGACTCTTTTCCTCCTTTCTATGTTTATTGAGATACCTTCTTGTATTTCAATGGATATGAAGGGGGTTTTAATGAGGCCTCCTTTCTTATCGAAAAAAGTTTAGTTATGCATTTGCATGAAATCATAGACTATATTGACTAAGATTCTTTTGATATAGTGATGTGAACCTATATCTAATAGTTGTATTGATGGCCAAATTTGAAGTTCGAAACTTTCTTATGTTTCAATGGTTTAGCATTATTTTTAACTGAAAAATAGTTATGCATTACTGTCAAGTCGGGACAGTAAATGTAGTTCATTGCCTAACCCTGGCAAGGAGAACACTGAGACTTGAAATTGTATTCATATCAATTCCTTTAAGCTTAATTGAAAATCTATGATTGAACTTGAAATCGTCTGATACAAAACATATATCTGAGTATGTCTTGAT